CAAATATATTAAAAATTTTGAAGTAAATCTTAACACTTAAAGAAAATTCCAGATAATTTAGGATTTAATTCGGCATAATAAATGGAAGGGTTATCTTGGGTTGTTTTGAGTTCAGGCTCTATTGGCAACAATATACTAGTCTGCTGTTTAAATGAACCAATGTCCGCCCTGGGTTATAGGGCTTAGTCCCTGCGTTCCAGCGTTTAATTGTTGAACCTTCAAAGTCCGTGCGGGTTATTTAAGGCACCCCTCCTAACGGGAGATGATAACATAATTGCAGATTTCTTAGGCAAATGCCTTTGGACACCAGAGAAGGTAAAGCAAAACCTGAATCACGATGGGGAAAGAGGGATATATATATTGATTTCCTAAATACAGTCTTGGATAAGGGAGATTTTTCCCAGATTGAGGTTGATTGTTTATTAAGGGGCATTATTTTGAGGTGCATCTTCGCTGTATAGTTTTTTGAAAGATGTTTTGAAGTCATTTGAAAGCAAACTGTAATATGTTGTTAACGGGGACTGGAGTTAAATCATCACGAAGATACTATTTCAATTGTAAAGGAAATTAAAACGGTCATTGTCCTTGATCGGAATATTTGATTTCAGGGTACAAACCAACGCGTTCATGAAACAATTTGATAAATACTACGAAAGTGTTTCGTCTTGTACTCGAGTAAGTTAAGCCAACCGGCAATTCTAGTCACCCAATATTTCCGCGCAAGTAGGTAAAACTAATGCTGCTACTCAAAGCATCTTATTCAATTGCATTTTGTACAATCAAATTCTGTAGAATTCGTTAACTAGTAACCGTCCCCCCACTTCCTGTTTACCGTTTGATATCTCCGAACATAGAAATTGATAAAAAATAATTATGAAAGCAATTCCACTTTTAAAAGTAAAACAAATCAAAGAAAATAAAAAATATGACAATATAAGGTGAATGTACTTACATGACGATAAGGCCAAAAGGTAATAACTACTTCTTCTATGGGGGAGTTGGCAAAGTGTTTCTTGTGTGGTGACTCAGAAGTAGGGTGTCCGAAAATTCTTAGCGGCAGTAGGGCTTTGAATAATATCGTCGGTAAGACTTGGGTGAAGTAATTTATGGTAGTGGGTGGGATTTTGGAATCTTGAGGGATGTATTTTATGGAGTTCTTATCTGCGAGAGACTGTCTGTTAAGATTTTGAAAATACTATGAAATTAATTAATTTCGGCTAATTGTCGTATGGCAATGATAAGAATTTAAGAAAGGAAAAAGGCATTTTCGCTGTCCAAGAGCTATAACAGTTCTAAAGGCATGAAAAGCCCATTTTTTTAGTAACCGTATATTTCTGAAGACAATTAGCTTGTTAACAATATATACAATTGAGTAATTAACGATATAGAAATCTTCAACTGACAGTCATCCAACTTGATACCGCCTTCTCAGGTTTGGAATAAATTATCATATCCTATCAGTTAAATACTCACTCTAAATCATTAACTGATAGGGATATGAAATTTATTCCTAAAACCTGAGAAGGCGGTATAAGTTGGATGACGTCAGTTGAAAGATTTCTATATAGTGTAATTACTCATTGTATATATTGTAAAAAGCTAATTGTCTTCAGATATATGTTACTAAAAAATGGGCCTATTTCCTGCCTTTAGACTGTCTTTAGCTCTTGGACAGCGAAAATGCCTTTTCCCTTTTTAATTCTTAATCATTGCAACACGACAATTAGCCGAAATTAATAATTTCCATCACTAGTTATTCAAAAAAATCTTAACAGATGGTCTCTCTCAGATAAGAACTCCACAAAATACATCCCTCAAGAATTCCAAATCCTACCCACTACCATAAACTTCACCCAAGTCTTACCGACTGATATTATTCAAAGCCCCTTTGCCGCTAAGAATTTTCGGGACACCCTACACTTCTGGAGTCAGCACAAAGAGAACACTTTGCCAACTCCCCACTAAAAAGAATGTAAGTTACTTAATACCTTTCTGGCCTTTATATCTTCATGTACATTCACTGATCTTATTTATATTACTATTATTTTTATATTTTATAATTTCTTTGATTTGTTTTTACAAAGTTTGCATTATTTATCTTTTTTATAATCTTCTATGTTTATTTCAACTTTACTTTGAATTTGATTTCATAATGACAATTTCCAATGTTTAATTACTACAATTAATATAGTACTCAAATGCGTAACGATGAAAGTGTCGGGGACGGTTACTCGAGTTTTACAGGATTTCTCTACAGTAATTGATTTTTACTCCAATTGAATTGACTAAAATGCTTCATGAGAATAAGTTCTTTGAGTATCAGCATTAGTTAATAATTCCTACTATTCAGGAAATATTGGACTGACTAGAATTGCCAGTTTGGCTTTAACTTATAACTCGAGTAAAGACGAACACACTTTCATATTTACGTATTTTTATCAATTATTGTTCATTGAACGGGAGTTGGTTTGGTACCCTTGAAAAGTCAACTAATTTCCGATCAATGACATGATTACATGTTTTAATTTTTCCTTTTTACAATTGAAATATTATTCTTCGTGATGATTTAACTCCAGTCTCCGTTAAAACATTATTAACATTTTGCTTTCAAATTACTTCAAAACTTTCAAAATATAAACTTACCAGTATGGATGCACACTTTTAAAATAATTCTACTTTAATTAAACTTAGGAGATAATATAATCAATTAATCAATACTGTTTAGGAAATAAATTATTATTAACTAACTTTGCAGCAATTGCGCAAGTTAATAACTTAGTATTCGCACTAAATGGATTAAGATCATACAAATTAATATATATATATATATATTTATATATACGTTTGGTGTGGTCAATTGCAACCAAAATACGAGGTTCACATCTACATGTTATGGCAGTCCTATATGCAAAATTTCAACGTTTTGAGGCTACTCATTTTTGAGTTATGCAAGGTATATATATATATATATGTACTTACAGACACCACGAAAAATTCTCTTCAGAATTCATTTTAAAGCAGTTTTATAATTTTTTTGGAGAAAAGTCTTTTATTCTGTCCTTACGTACATGTCACGCAAAAACATTGTTAAATTGCATTCAATAGTGGTCAAAATAGATATGTTGGTTGAAATATGCTGCCTCAAACTTTTCGCGATTACAATACTTCCTTTAAGGCCACAGCTGTGGAATAATGGATTGTTGTTGCACCAAGACAATGTACCCACTCACACAGCCCTATCTGTCAAACAGTTTCTGACCAGCAAAAACATTACCGTGATGGTGCATCCCTCTTATTAACCTGATTTGGCTCCATGTGACTTTTTTTTATTTCTTAAAGTTAAATCTTACTTAAAGGGAAACCATTTTACCTCAAATGATCTGGTTCAGGCAAAAATGGAAAATCTCCTGAAGGGTCTTCCAAAAACCTCACCCCAGAACTGTTACCAGCAATGGCAGAACCGAATGCAGAAGTGTGTGAACGCCTTAGGGAACTACTTTGAAGGTGATAACGTCATGGGGAACTGATTCTCTAAGTACAATGATTTATTGGACCAGTCTTTTTTTTTGTTTTTTTTTTTTTGTGTGTGTGTGTGTGTGTGTGGTCACACCTTGTACATTATATTTTATATAGTATTATTCTAACATAGGTATTTTGACACAAAATTGGACTATTTCTAGCAGTATTGGTTATACAGGCTAGAATTAATTTCAGGAGTATCCCAGAGAAAATTCCCTGAAATCTGAAAGTTTTATTAACTAAAAATAAATAGATTTAGAAGGAAGAAGCTGCATTAAATGATGTGAATAACATTAAAATATAGTTACTTAAAGATTAAAAACTGAATTACAATAATCAACGATATTTTGGTGAATATAGTTATATTAAATGGTTAGCCTAGATGACTGATTACCATTTGTTTATTTTACTACAAAATGATAAATAAGGTATTTATTAAAAACAATTGCAATAAAATCCTAGTATACGGTATGACGTTGGCACAATTTTTAAAATTTTCACTAACCCCAAAATGATCCGTTTACTACTCATCATAAATCTCCAGTTTACTGTTCAGCATAATGTCACCAAATCCATTATGTAAGGTAATGTATTTTCTTTTGTTCAACATATACTGCACATGTGGGTCTCTTTGATTCTCAAGGTTACCGGAAACTAAAGTTGCTGGAAACTTGCTTTGCCTTTCTAAAAGACTATCTGAATGGAACTGCAAAAACTGCCTATATGTCAGCAGCACCCGAATGACACTCGTGCTATGTGTAATTCACCAAGAAAGTGATCGTTTCCAACATAGGGACAAAAATCGCTTTTTTGGGGGATTGCCATATGAAATTCCCGGACTTTCCCAGATTTGGACTAAAATATTAAAATTCCCCGACGTTTTCGGTCAATTTTCAAATTTCCTGACTTTTATAAATTTCCCGGTTTTCCAGGTAGTATAGAAACCCTGAATTTGGTAAGAAATGGCAAATACGTTACTATATAAATTGGGGGTTTTCAGGTGGGAAAGTGGTCACCCTTTTATTTACCTGTTACGTACTTAATTTTTAGTTTATGAATATTAAAAAATTACTTTTACTCAAGTTTTGGTATTTATTAACATTTTCTATACTTTTTCTTGTTTAATTTATAAAATGTATTAAAAATAACATAAATTTAAGTAAATGTACATATATTTTTCGAGTTTGGGAAAGCAAAAGGGAAATGTTCATTCAGCAATGGTGAAAGGGATTGCATATGACCAAAAAAGGTTGAGATCCACTGGTATAAGTAATGAAACTTATGTTTTCTATCAGCAAAAACAGTCCTTATATATTTCATATCGTTTGCTATAAAAGTGACACAATACACACGAGGAAGGAAAAAATTGCAAGGCAATCAATTCAGATGTACTGTTTCACAATAGTGGGACGGTTTTTCTCAGTGACACAACAATCTATATTAAACACCTAAAATATAAAGATAACATTACATAAACTTACATCAATCAAAACATTTTTAGCTTCTTTATTTTGTCCAATCAACAGATAGCCAACAGCCATTTCATTTTTTAAATCTATATTCTGTGGAAACTTTGTTACCATATCTGACAGCAGCTTTAATGATTTTCCCATGAAACCTGCACCAAAAAATGAGTATTAAATTAATTTATATAAAAGGAGTTGCTCTTATATAAGGCAAAGAAGAAGAATTGAAATAAAGGCCAAAAAATTAAAAATTACCTCTAAAACGCATTCTGTCAGCAGCTCTTCTTCCAGCTAATAAATACAATTTCTCTGGCACATCTTTGATAGCTATTACTTTTTGATAAACAGCTATAGCATCTTCCAGATACTTATTACTACGCTGGGATTCTGCCAAGCAATCCAGACACTGAGCTCTCATATAATGCAGTCTTGGACTTTTAGAGTACTTTTTCAAAAGTTCTTCACACTTTTTCAAAGCTTTTTCAGGGGACTTCAGGTAGGGAATAACAACAGCAAGTCAAAAAGGCAAGCAATCTATTAAATGTTATGTAGCATAAGTAAAAAAGCATATCCTACTGTATTAGATTCATATGGATCTTAATACTGTTGTGCTTTCTGAAGCAATAATATTCAATATATATTTAGTAACTGATACCGATTACTATGTTAGTATTTAAGTAACTGACACAGATTTTGAAAAGAAAAAAAAAAATATTCAGAAAATTTATTTAATTTTAGTCATATACTTAAATTAAATAAATTTTCAGTTTTTCATTACTTATATAACACTTTAATTACACAATCAGATTCTCACTGATAGACAGATTATATAAGTATTTTGAATTACAAAACTGAATACTAACACTTGTAATGAAAATTGCAATAGTATTTGCATTTTAAATTTTCTTACAAACTAGTTGTAACATAAGTTAAAAAGAAAAATATTGGAATATATTTTCATCAGTTAAGATAATCATATAAATACAATAACTTCATTAATAATTTACATTTTAGGTATATTATGACAAATAATTATTCTAACTCACTAATTACTAAAATCACATTTGAATAATATTTTCAGAAGTAAAGATCTGATGCACAACTCAGTTCTTTAAGTTTTATTAAATATTTTGAATTTGTATGCTAAAATAATTTAATATCCAGATAATTTAACAACTTATTATTTTTATTACCATTATTCTGATCCAAAAACATCCTCCACAAATTTACTCAGAAAGCACAAACTAGTTTCATTTAATCATGCAAGAAAATTAATTTTAATTTAATATCACAGTGAAATGTTAGCCAAATTATATGAGCAAACACACAATAATTACAAAAAGGGAAACAGCATTCAGACATCCTTCAATTCAAGCAAAAATATTACCAGGTAAGACAAAATCACATTTCACTTCCTAAACATTAAATAATCAGTGTTAGTAATCAGAAAATCTTGAGGATCGGTGATGGATTTACAAAACAAAGTTATAGAAAAATAGGTAAAAATATATCTTAAATGAAAATTTATAAAAAGGATAATATTAGCAACTAACTATTCAGGAATAAGAGTAACAGCTAAAAAATTATGAACTAAAATTGTAAGCATAATTTATAAATGTCAAAAAAACACAAAAATAAGTGGTTATATTACCACTAAGTTTTAAATTTATAAAAGATTACATTTTTGATTTAATATTAAAAAATATGCTATTGCTCCTAATGAATTTTACGAGTATTATTAATATATTTTATTTTAAAACATTTTTGCCTATACAATTTTATAATTAAAAAAAAATTATTTATGTATTTACAATAAATTTGCATGCTTAATTTATGTTCTAATTTAAATGAAGATAATCTAAATTTAATAATAAAATTAATGGCTATTAAAATCAGCACTACTTTATCTGCTCATTAAAATAATTTACATAAAGCACAATAATATATAAATCATACATATCTTCCAACAATTTACACATATTATATAAGAAGTACACTGTAATAAAAAAAAACTGCAGTTAATTTTAAAATATTTTAAAAGATGTGAAATGTACCTTTTAAAACATATTTTAAATAATTAAGAACATGTCATCTCTAGATGAAAAATTATACTTCTAACCATAAAGAAAACTATTACTTCTGTAAAAAGGAATGCCAAAAATGAAAATTTGATAATAAAATAAAAAAGAATGCATCTAATAATAGGGAACCTAAATGTTTCTTTTTAAGCAGCTAAATAATTTATAGTCCTTCAATGTGACTACAGTGCTCAATATTTTTAATAATGCTATCATAGATCAGAGGTTAACATTCCAATGATTTGCAAATAGTATTTATTATATTATTCTCTATAACAAAGTAGTAATATAAAACAGATAATAATGGCCTGAATCAATGTTAATGATGAAAATGCATGCATACTAACTAAGAAAACATTCATTTACAGTTGCTAACAAAATCCTGGATTATGTAAAACAAATATTAATATGAACCAATGAAAGACATGTTAAGATTACAATATCTATTAAACACTAAGGACAGTTAAAATTGCCAAAAATCAAATTCATCTTCATTTTCCTCCTCAACATTATTATAATCATCATTGCTGTCATCAGGATAATCCTATTGAAAAGCAAATTGGAAAGAGGAAAAAAAAGAAACACTAAATAAATATGACCAAATTCCAAAAATTGAATGACACTGACCATATATGCAGTAATTTTGGAAAAGACAAATTATTATACACTGCTGGCCACCGTAAATGCAACATCGTGAAGGAAGCATGCAAATAACATGAAATTTACAATATGCATTAGCGGAGGTGAGATACGCAAATCATTAGAATTTCAGCATAGACGCACATCTCGAGTGCCTATGGCGCCACTTCAAAGCGCTATTTAAGGCTTGGAGTTTTCGACGATTTCAAGTTCGGCAATTGCATTTTCCTTGTGTTTTTTTTTTTTTTTTTTTCCAAAAAAACGATCAATTATGCCTTGTAGTAAACAGCGATCATCGTTTGATCAAGTATCCGAGTTCGACAGAGGAAGGATAGTAGCCTACCGAGAATGTGGATTATCTTTCACGGAAATCGGTAGTCGTGTTGGACGAAGCAAAACAGCTATATGTGACCGCTGGATGCCTACCGAGAATGTGGATATGTGACCGGTGGATGCAGGAGGGTGCGACAAGCTGACCCACGTGTTCGATTGCATGCACCTCAGTGCACCACTTAACGTGATGACAGGAACGTTGTGCGCATGGCAGTGACAGATCGGTCAGTCACATCACGAACCATAGCACAGCACATTCAGTCTGTAACGCATCATCCAGTATCTGCGCGTACAATTCGACACAGTTTGCAGCAGAGTGATCTATCTGCAAAACGTCCATTGCTTCTTCTACCCTTGTCGCAGAACCACAAACGTCTCCACTGCCGATGGTGCGATGAAAGAAGGATGCGGACGGCAGAATAGAATGAAACTGTCTTTACTGACGAGACACGCTTCTGTCTGCAACACCACAATGGTCGGATTCGAGTCTGGAGACATCGTGGAGAGAGGATGCTGAACCGCTGCATTATGCACCCCCACACTGGTCCTGCACCGCGTATTATGGTATGGGGTGGCATTGGATATCACTCTCGCACTCCTCTAGTACGCATTGCCGGTACTTTAAACAGCCAGTGCTACATCTCCGAGGTGTTGGAGCCAGTTGTCCTTCCTTACCTTCAGGACTTGCCCACAGCCATATTTCAACAGAATGATGCGCAACCACATGTAGCACGCGTTGTCCAAGGGTTTTTCGTCAATCGGCAGATTGAATTGCTTCCCTGGCCGGCTCGCTCTCCAGATCTTTCGCCGATAGAAAACATGTGGTCCATGGTTGCTGAACGATTGACCCAGATTACATCCCAAGCTGCCACACCAGACCAAATTTGGCAATGTGTGGAAGCTACTTGGTCTGCTGTACCCCAAGAACACATTCAGTCTCTCTGAATCAATGCTGAGGCATGTGGCAGCGGTGATCTCCAACAATAGTGGCTACTCTGGCTACTGATTCTGGAAGGAACCATACTTCACAGAATCTATAAATTATATTTGATACTGGTCAAACATGTATACTAAATAAATTATTGTGATACCCTCTTCTCTGATGTTGCAATTTGGGTGCCAGCAGTGTATTTAAAAATTAACAAGCACATTGGTCCAAGTTAAAATGAGATAACTACTAGGTTGACAGCTGGAACCATGTTTAAACATAAGACAACTAAAATAAAAGTAGAGAAGCTTTTGCAGACAACCTGTCTGCTTTGTCAACTGAAGCAGGAATACATGGCTTTATACTGCTCATTATCTTTCATTGATTAATGCAGAGTTGCTGTGCGCAGAACACACATCCAAATATATGCAGATGCTGTTCACACATTTTTTAGATGATTTTCATTGCAATTACAGAAATATTTTACCTAAAATTTTTATGTTTTAAATGTTCTGTTTGATAATCCTTATTCTTCATGTGTTCTCTTTACACACCATTAATTTCCAAGACAATAAGGCCTTTTGTAACAACGGAAGAGGTATTTTATCCCATTGCTCTCGAACAGCTTTCCATCAAAAATTTTTATCAAAGAAAACCATTCAGCCAGATCCTTTGGTAAACAAAACTTTAATCATCCTTTAAATTAGAAAAAATGCTTGCAATTTTTATAAATCCACTTTTATAAAGGGCAATATATATCAAGTGTGCATTCTACAAGTAAATTTCATGCCCAAATTCCAAAAGTAGTCAATTCTGATGTTACCATGTTTACCACCAAAATCGAACTTTTCTGTCTCTCCCTTTATTTGAATCTCAACTGATTTTGGTGAAACCTTTGATTGAAAAACTAAGAATTACATCCAATTTTATTATACACATTTACGAAGCTTTTCAAGTCATACATGTTTTACAGTGTTTAGAGCCAATGGACAAACCTATAAACAGTAAACAGGTCTCTTTATGAGCCTATGTTGGCTGAAATCTACATGCAACATGTGGCAAATTTTGTTTTCTTCGTGTCCCCCTCCCGAAAACCTATTTTTCGGAACAAGTACGTAGTTGATATTTTTCATTCTGAAGATGAAGCTTTGTTAGCTTTTATTTCAGAAAATATCTGCAACTTGCAGCTTACAATCAACAGAGATGTTAATTTCTTGATCTTTTAATTTTTTAAGAAATGGCAATGCTCTTCAGGCTACAATCTATCTCAAACCAACTGGCAACCCAGTAATAATTCTGCTCAACTCTTTCTTTTCATCCACATAAAGCAGCTACCTTTTATTTTTACTTAAAATATTCCAATGATTTCTGCTTCCCTCCACAGTTTTACAGAACTGAATATAATACAGAACTGAATATATTAAAAACTGCTGAAAACAACACATATATCTGGCTGATTTCATAAAAGAATTCACCAAGAAAATCATTAAAAAAGCTTCTACAGTTATTTCT